AGGTGGATTGGTGGGTGGGTGAGTGGATAGATAGAAACTCTTGTGTTTCAAACGACAGTGGCTGCTCATTCTGCTATACATGTGGCTCTCCTGAGGCCACCAGGTCTAGGACATGCAGAGTTCAGGATCTAGCTGAGCACAGGAAGAGGTGTTGGGTGGCAGATGGACAACCGCAGGTCTGATCAGAGAAGGGGTTTGGCAGGCACCTGTGAGTGTCGCCTTTACTCACTGACCTGTCCTCTCTAGATGGAGGCTTGGGTTTCAGCCAGCTGGGAGGGAAGCCAGCCTGTGGTGAGGGGAGCTTTCTCTCCACCATCACCCCCCTCCCCCCCACTGTACCTGCCGTGATCCGTAATCACATAACCGCAAGGCAAAGGGGTGAACCCCAGGGATCTGCATCCCCATGGTGGTCCCACACACAGCAGATGTCACAGGCAGCCTGCCTAGCCTTACCTCATCTACACAAGTTTTCTTTCTTCAAGATGGCTGTGAAGGTGAGAGGTTAAATTTTAGTCGAGGGTTGGGTTGTGGGGAAGTTGTAGAGATAAGATCAGCAGGGACAGAAGACACAGCAAGGTTCCTTGCCAAAGCTTTGTTCCTTACCTATAATGTCTCAACCGAGACAACCTGTCTGTACCAGGACATGGCCTATCTTGCAAAGAGATGAATTGTCGCTTCCTAGTCCAACACACCTAGAGGTGGCCACATTCCACCTCCTGCTTGGGGGAAGGAGGATCTCTTTGAGGTGCCCTCCTCTGCCCTTATTTGCCCAGGCACTATCTTGTCACCTGTCTGCCCTGCTCTGTCATCTCCTGTTCCTTATTCTGTAATTGTTACCCATCTTGGAGCCACATGGGCTTTTGTTTGTTTGATTTGGTTTGTTTTCCACTCATTCTTCATTTCACAAGTCAATCTTCTTTACCCTCTAGTCAACTGTTACTTGTGCCTGCTTGAATTTGAGGGTACAGAAGAAGCCCAGCCTTGTACTCATCATGTCGAGCCTGGGGAAAGATCGTTGACACAGCTGGCTAGAGTGATGTGGGTTGGATTGTCACCAGGCACGTGATCCTGAAACCTTTATTGACTTGAGTAAGATGAACCCCATGTGTATTTACCAAGATGCCTCTGTCCATCTGGAACATTCATGTTATTTACAACATGTTCTCCCCGTTTGGGCACTAAAAATCCTTCCCCTGACAATATGTTCTGATTCTCCTAACTTGACACCATCTTGGACCACAGCCTCTCCACAAGGAGTGAGAGTTTGTCTTCCTGAAATCCAGCCTCCTGTTGTCCTTTTGGCCCCATTAAATCAACAGGGGATTATATCAGTTCTGAGCAGCAGGGAGATTGGCATGCACTGTGGGGTGTCTAGATTGAGATGAGATTGGAGGGCATGCTCTTAGTTCATTTACTAAATATTTGTTGAGCACCAATCCTTTGCAAGCATCAGAGATCTGCTTAGGATGCAACACACACAAAAAGGGCACAGTGCCTGTCCTAGTCTTTAGGGGGAAAGGAACAATGAAGCATCTTATTTTGCTGCAAAGAAAGAAGTAGGGAAAGGAGCTGTCAACAGTGTGGTGTAGGATTGCTGTCCCAGGGGAAGGCAGAGACTTTGCCTGGCAGGAATAGACAAAAGTGTAGCAACTCACAGAGCAGTGGTGACATTGGAACAGGATCTTGAAAGATGAGCAGTTAGCCAGGTGGAGACAGGACACCTAGGGAGGTTCCAGGGGAGATGGTCATGTCAGGATCTTCTGACCTGGCTCACATGTTCTCAGAACCAAGTACAGTTGGGAAATCCTAGGAAGGTAAGAACATTGAAAGGAACAAGCATTGATGTCACTTCATCCACCTGCTTGAAGACTTGAGGAGACAGAAATAGCCTTGGACTTCTACCTGGCTGGCAGGGTAGGGCAGGAGGTAAGAAGAGCCTTCTGAACTCTTGGGTCCTAGTCACTGTGCCTGAAGATGGGAAGCCAGAAGCGTTTTGAGTCCTGGCCCCACGTATTCCCAAACATCTCACAGCCATCAGGAAACTGGAAAGGATAGAGGAGTGGTAAAACAGAGAGTCCCTTCATCCACCGCTCGCTCCCTCCCCATGCTCAGCCTCAGCTCTCACCAGCCCTGGAAGGGTCACTTCGTTGAGATTTCTGTGTAAGCCCTGCCACTCCTGAGCAAAGAACCAGAGTGGCCAAACACAGGGAGACTTGCTCAATATCTTTAGTCATGAGGGAAATAAACATCATGATGGAAATACTACCAGATATATTTTTACCTGACAATGCCAAGTGTTGGCAAGGACACAGAGCAATAGGAACTCTCATCTCACTCCCTGCTAGTGGGGGTGCAAAGCCATTCTGGAAGAAGTTACAGCAGTTTCTTGCCTTTAAAATATATATAATTTGGGGCCCGGCGCAGTGGCGCAGTGGCGCAGTGGTTAAGGTCCTCGCCTTGCACACCCGGGATCCCATATGGGCACCGGTTCTATCCCGGTGGCCCCACTTCCCTTCCAGCTCCCTGCCTGTGGCCCAGGGAAAGCAGCCGAGGACGGCCCAAAGCTTTGGGACCCTGCACCCACGTGGGAGACCCGGACGAGGCTCCTGGCTTCGGATCGGCATAGCATCGGCCGTTGCGCTCACTTGGGGAGTGAATCATCGGACGGAGGATCTTCCTCTCTGTCTCTCCTCTCTGTATATCCGCCTTTCCAATAAGAAAATAATAAAAATAAATCTTTAAAAAAATAAAAATAAAAATAAAATAAAAAATATATAATTTTTTTCCATTGGAAATGCAGACTTACAGGAAGGAAGAGAGACACAGAGAGAGAGAGATCTTCTGTCTTGGTTCACGCCCCAAATGACCACAATGACCAGAGCTGAGCCAATCCAAAGCCAGGAGCTTTTTCTGGGTCTTCCATGTGGGTGCAGGATTCCAATACTTGGCCCATCCTCTGCTGCTTTCTCAGGCCACTAGCAGGGAGCTAGTAAGGAAGTGGAGTAGCTGGAACACAAACTGGTACCCATATGAGATGCCAGCACTGACAGGTAGAGGTTTGGCCAGTTGAGCCATCACACCGCCCTTCCCCCTACCCCCACTTTTTTTAAAGACAGATCTTTCAACCACCAGTTCATTCCCCAAATGGCCACAACAGCAAGAGCTGAACCAGGCCAAACTCAGGACCTTGGAACTCCATCCAGGTCTTCCATGTGAATGGCAGGGCCCAAGCACTTGGGCCACCTATCATTGCTTTTTTTAGATGCATTAGCAGGGCAGTTGGTCAGAAGCAGAGAAGTTAGGACTCAAACCGGCAATTGAAAATGAGATGCTAGTGTCTGTCACTGGCAGTGGCTTAATTTGCAATACCACAACCTGTCCCCTAGTAATCTTTCTTTTCTTTTCTTCCTCTCTTTCTCTCTCTTTTTTCCTTCCTTTTTTTTTTTTTACTTGAAAGATAGATTTACAGACAGGGAGAGAGAAGAAGAAACACAGAGAGAAATTTTCCACCCACTGGTTCACTTCCCAAATGGATGCAAGAGCCAAGGCTGCACCAGGCTGAAACCAGGAACTAAGAACTTCTTCTGGATCTCATACATGGGAGCAGAGGCCCAAGCACTTGGGCCATCCATCCTCTGCTGTTTTCACAGTAGTATTAACAGAGACTATGATCACAAGTGGAACAGCTAGGACTCGAACTGGCCCCTCCATGGGATGCCAGCACTGCAGGCTGTTGTATCGCTGCCCCCTAACAATCCCCTATGAAGTCAAATATATATTTGCCATGTGACTCAGAGCCCTATTCCTAGATAGTTACTCAAGAGAAACTAAAACCTAAATCAAAAACCTTGATGAATCATACAGTGACGTCTCTGTGGTTGTAACAGCTTTATCCACATAATTAATTGCCTTCAACTGGGAGTGATCAACGACCCAGCAGCCAGTGAATGGAAAAACAAACCAATCCGTTCCCATAATGGAACCTGATCTGACAGTAACAAGGAGCAGATTGCCAAAATGTGCAGCAATGCAAATAGATCTTAAATCATTATGTTGAATGAAAGAAACCAGGGGTCACTTTTGTATTATAGTGAGGCTGCTGCCCGCAATGCCAGCATTCCCTGTGAGTGCCAGTTCAAGTCTTGGCTGCTCCAGTTCCAATCCAGCTTCCTGCTGTTGTGCCTTGGAAAGGTGTGGAAGCTGGCCCAAGTACTTGGGGCCTTGGCCCCATGCTGGCAAGCCCAGTGGAGTTCCTGGCTTCTTCTGCCTGAACCAGCTTTAGCCACTGTGGCCATTTGGGGACTACAAAGGGTTAAAACATTCTCTCTCTCTCTCTCTCTCTCTCTCTGTTAACTCTGCCTTTCAGATAAACCAGACACAAAAGCCAAAATAGTATATGACCCTCTGGGGGAAAAAAAACTAGAGGGACAGAAATCAGATGAGTAGTTGCCATAGGTGGGGAAAGAAGATTGCGTACAAGAGCGCATGCCATAGGAGAGCTTTGGGGAACAGTGGGCGTGTTCTCTGTATTGACAGTGGGAGTGGTTTAGTCAAAGTTTACGAGACTGTGCACATAATAGCCATGGTACTCACTGTAGATTGTATCTTGGTAACAGAAGATTCCTCTAAACCTCTCACCCCAGAATGAGGCTTAGGAGGAAGGGACATCCAGGATCCCCTTGAAGACAAAGCCCATGTATGTTTCCACGCCCTGATCAGATGCTGAATTCTCCTTTGCTAAGGACCATGTCTGCACTTCCATGCCTACTCCCAACCCACAGCCCTAGGCAGGCCACATGCAGGCCAAGCTCTCATTTGGAGCATATAATCACCTTTTGTAAGCCATTTACCTCATCCAGGTTTCTTTCTGTCACCAGAGTGAGCCTGTAGCACCTTTGGCTTGCTGGTTCTAATCCCAGCCCCTGGAATTCAGTAGTGTGGCCTGGGCATCTGCAGCCTCGGCTGGCCACTGAGGTCATGTCTGGGATGTCTCATTTCAGTGCTGCTCACATGGGTCAACTGTTCCAGTGTGCGGTGGGCCACCCGTGTTCAGGACGTCTTCACAGCCGGGAAGCTCCTAGCCCTGGCCCTGATCATCGTCATGGGGGTTGTGCAGATATGTAAAGGTGAGTGTCCCAAGGAGCTCCCTGCCCACACTCAGTCAAAAGGGAGGATAAGTTGTGTTCCCCCAGGGTGGCTAGGGGTAGGAAACCCTCCCCCTTCTGGGCAATGGTCTTCCCAAGCTCCCCTCTTGGCCCTTTGGGGTCCTCACCTTGTTGCCTTCACTCCAGGGAATTCCACTTAGCCTTCAGTTTCTTCTTGTCCCTATCTCAAAAAAAATATATATATATTTATTTATATATACATATATACATATATATCCTTTTATTTGAAAGATGAATTTTTTTTTTTACAAGAAAGAGATCTTTCATCTGCTGGTTTACTCCCCAAATGGCCTCAATGACCAGAGTTGAGCTGATTGAAAACTAGAAACTGGGAGCCTCTTCCTGGCCTCCCACATGGGTGCAACAGCCCAAAGCTTCAGTCCATCCTCCACCGCTCTCCCAGGACATTCATAGGGAGCTGAAGCAGCAGTGGAGTGGCTGGGACATAAACCAACATCCAAATGGGATGCTTAGAGGCGGAGCATTAGCTACGTTTGTCCTTTCTTGTCCTTATCTTACAAAGGAGACTTTTTGCATGTTTCAGAATTACTAATAATCTCTTCCAGAGAGCGCCTTGCATTCCTGGGGCCGCTGCCAACATTCTGCACTGGATTTGATTCTTTCCAAGCCCATGTCTGTATTTGGTTTCTATGGGACCCAGAGCACCGCGCATCTCATGGAGAAAATGAGATGACAGCCCCTTGCCCCAAATCAGCGTGAGAGGCAGAACTTGGCCCCAGGAAGCACGATCCTGCTGTGTAATGGGTCTGAGGGGCTTCATCATTGGATGAACTCTGTTAGCAGTCTATGTTTTTTCTAATAGTTTAGATGCCAGGAAATCACCTAGAGGAGTTCCTCATAAACCAGTCTTGGTTCTTGCTCCTGGCCACTCAAATCTTATTTCCTGTCCAAAAACTAGATTACAGGGATCAAATCATAAGGCACCTCTGATTTATAGCAGCCTTTTGGGAGGCCCGCTATGCATAGAATAGAACACTGAGTTGAGGGTTTGGAAGGCAATTCAAAGACTCTTGACTTTAAAAACAAAAAAAATCATGTTCTCAAGGAACCTATGCCCTGAAAGGAGATCAAACACACACTTTGGAAAGAGATAGGAGAGCTGGGTATTGACAAAGCAAACAGGACAAGCTTGACCCATTGTAGCTTGTGCTTGAGGGTTATTCTTGAGGCTTGCTTCATGACCATGCATAGAAGCTTACAGATCAGGGAGTAAGGGCAGGAGACTGCCAGGGACTGCACTCCCACATGTCCGAAGCTCAACAAGCCTAGCCCATTGATTTACCCTGCTTTGCCTCTTAAAGAAGGAGCACTCAGAGAGCCAGCACCATGGTATAACAAGTTAAACCACTGCCAGTAGTGCCAGCATCTGATATAGGCACCAATTTAATTCACAGCTGCTCCACTTTCAATCCAGCTCCCTAATAATACACTTAAGAAGACACAGAAGGATGGCCCAGTGTGGGCTTTGGCCCCTGCACCAACGCAGCCCACGCTGGGCCCAATCTTGACCTTTGTAGCCATATGCGGGGAGTGAACCAGAGGATGGGAAGTTTCTCTAACTCTGCCTTTTAAATAAATAAACTAAATCTTAAAAAGAAAGAAAGGAAAGGGGCATTGAAGGGACAGCAGGCCTTCTGTATCTAGGTAACTTCAATATCTGCTTCCAGGTGCCAACTCCAGCATTCCTATTCATGCAGACCATGAGAGGCAGTAGTGATGGTGCAGATAATCCAGTTGCTGCCTCCCAGCTTCATCTTGACCCAAACCTAGCCATCATGAGCATTTGGGAAGTGAACCGGATGGCTGGCTGGTTGGCTTGCTCTAGCTCCCTGACCCTTTTGGTCCTCTTTCTCCCATGCCCTGGGTTTACTCCATACAGCAGGACAAAGGACTGGCATGGCTGGGGAAGGGGTGAGAAAGACCAGACCAGCAGACTTGGGGGACACCTACAAGCAGCTCCTGCCCATTGTATCCCCAGGAGAATACTTCTGGCTGGAGCCAAAGAACGCCTTTGAGAACTTCCAAGAACCTGACATTGGCCTCATCGCGCTGGCTTTTCTTCAGGGCTCCTTTGCCTATGGGGGCTGGAACTTTCTCAATTACGTGACTGAAGAACTGGTGGATCCCTACAAGTGAGTGGCACTAAGACAGTCTTTCCACCTCCCCAGTGAGGCCACAGCACCTGTGGCTGACAAGGAGGGATAGTACCCACTGCTCCTCCTCTCCTACCCCCATTCTGCCCATGCAGTGCTCTGCTCCAACATGTTGGTTTATTTCCCAGCCACCCTCTTGGGAGGCAGGAAAGGCTGTGGAGATGATGGCTCAGCCTTGGAGAATGAAATGTAATAGGAGAGGCTCCTGGGCCTCTGACCAGTTTCCTGTCTCTGTGGCCGGAGATAGGGAGGGGTACATTGTGTAGCTTTGGGCAGAGAGACCCCAGCAGGTGCAGAGCATGTTGACAGCCTGATCTGCCTCATTCAATCCCTGGACCAAGATAAAGTCCACACCAGCCCGGAAGGAACCCCTTCCTTGTCCCCCCACTGCACCCAAACCTCTCTCTCACATCCTATCCCTCTACAGGAACCTCCCCAGAGCCATCTTCATCTCCATCCCCCTGGTCACCTTTGTGTATGTCTTTGCCAACATCGCCTATGTCACTGCAATGTCCCCCCAGGAGTTGCTGGCGTCCAACGCTGTCGCTGTGGTAAGAAACCTAAAACTCCTGTGCCGTCTAAGCAGGAGTGCTGGCCTGGGCTTGGCCGCCCAGCCCGCTCAACATTCCCTGCCTATGGAAGTGTACCTGAGTCCCTGGGGTGGAAGCCACACGTGTCCTTCCTGGCGGAGGGGAGGCCTTCCAGCAGCTGGGTTGGACCTAGAAGAACTCTGGCAGCAGTGGTGAGCAGTTTCCACAGAGACCACATGGCCCATGCACTGGGTCGGAGTCCCTTCCATCTAGCCCTCCAGCAGGCAATGTTTGCCAACCTTCACCCAGGCCACCGGAAACCCTCCTGGCGACAGCTGCATGCAGGAGCCAGGCAGCTGCTCTTTGGGAGGACACATTCTCACTTCTCTGCCCACTCGCCTCCCTTGGAACACCTGCAGGCTGACTCTTTCCACCACTGGGGGAAAGTGGGTACTGGTCCATGAGTCTTAAGTCAGAGCGCCAGGAATGAGGGGATCCTTGCTAAGAAGAAAGGACATAGAGGCCCTGCTGCTTCCTCCCCAACTCCAGACTGGGGCCTTTGCCTGGCAAGCTTATCTCTGAGAGGCTCCAGTCTCCTACCAGCAGCTGCCTTCCCCAGTAGGTGCCCAGCCCTTGCTGGTCATACCCTACCCTCCTGGCTCTGTTCAGGGAAAAACTAGTCTCCTGTGTTGTCTGTGCTGTTGGAGCATGAGAACTGAGCTGTCATGGCATGGGTGTCTCTTTCTCAGCCCACTGGCCACTCCTTGTTATCCCACCAATTTCATCTGCTCCTGTGTATATAGGAATTCTAACCCTCTCACTCCCACCTGCCCTGGGAATTAGACTCCATCCTCATTTTGCAAATAAGGAAGCCGAGGCCCCAGCGCAATGACTCAATTGCCTAATCCTCCTCCTTCAAGCATTAGGATCTCACGTTTTTTAAAGATTTATTTATTTTTATTGCAAAGTCAGATATACAGAAAGGAGGAGAGACAGAGAGGAAGATCTTCTGTCCAATGATTCACTCCCCAAGTGACCGCAACAGTGAATGTTGCGCTGATCCGAAGCCAGGAGCCAGGAACTTCCTCCAGGTCTCTCATGCGGGTGCAGGGTCCCAAAGCTTTGGGCTGTCCTTGACTTCTTTCTCAGGCCACAAGCAGGGAGCTGGATGAGAAGTGGAGCTGCCAGGATTAGATCCGGCACCCATATGGGATCCCAGCACATTCAAGGTGAGGATTTTAGCTGCTAGGCCACCTCACCAGGCCCCATAAAATTTAAAAAAAAAAAAGTGAATCATCTAAAGCTCCAAAGTGCCACATCCTGTTCAAGGTAGCAGAGCTCCCGGATGGAGGGTTAGGGAAGGCTGGAATCGGAACTGAGACCTTCCGGCCTCACAAGCCTGTGCAGGGCTCAGAGCTGAAGGAGTTGGATCATGTTCTTGAGATGAGGACTCATACCACCTGGCTTCCAACTGTGGCCCTAGGTACGCTGGGTGCTCCTAGGTACGCAGCTTCCCTGCTGTGTGCCTCAGTTCCTGCACCGAGAAAGCAGTTGATAAATGTTCATTCCTTAGTATCAGTAGCACTATAGCCCGTCTGCTCCAGGTCACTGGCCCCAAAGCAATACACTGCCCATGTAGCTATCTCTGCAATGAGAGGAGGTTTGAGCTGGGGGCCGGAGAGAGCCAGCGAGAGGCTGGTGGCAGGGTGCAGGTGCAGACAGGAGAGGAGCATTTCCAGCTAGGAGGGGCAACTGTCCCCTCTCTCTCCATCTCTTCCCCTGCATTTCTCTCCCCAGACGTTCGGAGAGAAGCTGCTGGGGGTCATGGCCTGGATCATGCCCATCTCCGTTGCACTGTCCACCTTCGGAGGAGTCAATGGCTCTCTCTTCACCTCCTCCCGGTAAGTGCTGCCTCAGGCCAGAAGCACAGGGGTGGGGAGGGTGGGGCTCTGCTGTGCAGCTCTGCGTGTGTGTGGTGGGCTCGTCTCCGTCTGCAGGCGTGTGTGTCCCCGTGAGTGCTGGGGGTGGGTACTGTTCACGCAGTTCCCTACCACATCACAGGTGCTTTGTTGTGAAGAGTCCACTGCATTCCTCAAGAAATTGAAGGCTGAGGAACCTACTCACCCACCCATGCAGGGCAGGGCACTGTGTGTGGCAGACCTCAGGACAAGGTCTTAGCTGTAGTCTTAGTAAGTCCCCACCTCCCCCTAAACTTGTACTTGTCTGACTGCTCTGGCTAGCAAGGAGCCTCACTTTGCAAGGGCCCCCATGAAGGAAACTTGTCCAAGGGCCTCTGGGTCTGACCTGCCAAGAATGTTCTAGAACCAGACTGCAGGTGTGATGGGATCCCCGTGTGTGTGCATCCTGAGGATACAGCTTCCTCCCCAACCCAAGAGAGAGGTGCCTGTGATTGGGGATGAAAAGGGTGGAATTGGCACCCAAAATGCATGTACTGTGCAGGGGTGTGAGGAAGAATGAGATGAGAGCACTTGTCAAAGCAAGATGCCAACCCCATATCTCTCTTCTCCCAAGCCCCCCAGCTCCTGCAGGAGCATTCTGGGCCCCTCCTTGGCAGCCCCTCATTACCGCTTCCCAAATGGGCACAATCAAGGTGAGCATCTGTTGGACATTTTGCATTTGTGAGGCTCACAGACAAACCTCGTCCACTGGCACTTAGGAAGGACAGCGCACCACAGCTGAGTCCCTGAGCCCAGCATCTGTCACCTCACATCAGGAAGCGGTCCCTGTTCTGAGGACCCAGGGCAGCAGAGGGATGGACAGCATCCCTTGTGCTCCTGCGCTGATCCGCAGCAACCCCATGTGTGCGTGTTACACAGGAGCAGTGGCCACATTGAGGCCTCACCCAGGGCGAGCGGCGGAAGCACAGTGACCCATGAGGCTCCCTGGGACCTTTTGGAAGAGCAGTGACTGGCTGCAGTCGCTGTATCGTGGGGTTCGTCCCTCAGGCAGGCCACACTGTGGATCTGCGTGCATGTGGGAGAGTCGTGTGCATGCAGGAGATGGTGGCGCGTGGCGTGCCCAGTTTTAGGTTCAGGGGCACGCCTTCACCCTCCCAGGCCCTCCTTACCCCTTGCCTCCTTCTCTCCTGGGTCCTGGGGCCGTGCAGAGGATGAGACTTCGTGAGGAGTTGAGTGTGTGTGTGCGCACACACGTGTGTGTCACGCTTCGCGTCATCGTCTCCTCTGTTGTCCACTAGCTGGGCAAGGATTGTCTCTCGTCTGCTTGACGCTTGCAAGTACTGTCAGGTCTGGACAATGACACCTGTTCCTGGCTGCATGAGGAGGGGGCCGTGAGTGCAAGTCTCCAGCTGTGTGCACGGATGAGGCCCACCAAGCTCTTGCTGGGGCTTAGATGGAAGCATGAAACTGCCCAGGGGAAGGACGGAAGCATGGGGCAAAAGGGGCAGGGCAGGGAAAGGGTGCCTGTGTCTGCATGAAACAGGTGACTGTACGTTTCTAAGATGTATTTATTTGTGAAGCCAGCTTGCCAGTGAGACGAAGTGGAGCGAGAGACAGAGCTCTTTCCTCCATGTTCTCCAAATGGCTGCAACAGCTGGGGCTAGGTCAAGTCAAAGCCAGGAATCTGGAACTCCCTCCAGGTTTCCCACATGGGTGCAGGAGCTCAAATGCCTGGGCTGTCTTCTGCTATTTTCCCAGGTGCATTAGCAGGGAGGTGGATTGGAAGTAGCACAGCCAAGACTCAAACCAGCACTCTGACATAGGATGCTTATGCTGCAAATGGTTTAACTCACTACACCACAAATGTCAGCCCCTCACCAATTTTTCTTTTTTAAAAATAACTTTCACTTTTATATCAGGTTGAGGGAGAGAAAGGACTCCCTCAGGACCTCATGGTGGTCACTTTTATTTGTGAGGAGCTGGCACCATTGTATAGCAGGTAAAGCTGCCACCTATGGCGCTGGCATTCCACATGGGCACCAGATTGAGTCCTGGCCATTCCAGTTTTGATCCAGCTCCCCTGCCTAATGGTCTTGGAAAGCAAGCAGAGAACAGCCCAAGTGCTTGGGCCTCAGTACCCATGTGGTAGACCCAGAGAAAGCTCCTAGATGCTGGCTTCAGACAGGCCCAGCTCCAGCCACCACTGTGGCCTATGGGAAACGCCCAGTGGATGGGAGCTCTCCCTCTGTTTCTCTCTCTCTTTTTCTGTAATTCTGCCTTTCAATAAATAAATAACTACATCTTTAAAGAAACCTGTGGGAAATATTTTTTTTAGATTTATTTATTTTTATTGCAAAGTCAGAAATATATAGAGAAGACAGAAATATCTTCCATCCGATGATTCACTTCCTAAGTGACCACAACAGCCGTTGCTGCACCGATCTGAAGCCAGGAGTTTTTCCGGGTCTCCCATGTGGGTGCAGGGTCCCAAGGCTTTGGGCCGTCCTCGACTGCTTTCCTAAGCCACAAGCAGGGAGCTGGATGGGAAGTGGAGCTGCCAGGATTAGAACCGGCATCCATATGGGATCCCAGTGGGTTCAAGGCAAGGACTTTAGCTGCTAGGCCATCGTGCCGGGCCCAAGAGATAATTTCAAAAAGAAAACCTTTATTCCTTACAACTGCATGCAAATCTATAATTATCACAAAATAAAAATTTTAACTTTTTAAAAGTTTAAAAATTGGTTCTGCAAAGTATAAAGAAAAATATTGGAATTATTCTTAAATTACTTATGATTATAATCCTACCATCCAGAGATAAGCAATTGACATGCTAAAGTATTTTTGGCATGGCTCTAAGTAGATTTAAAAGTTAATTGGAATCATGTAATAAAGAATTTTTTTTAATTTATTTTCACGAAAAAAAAGATTTATTTACTTTTATTTGAAAGAGTTACAGAGAAGGAGAGACAGAGATAGATCTATTAGCTGGTTCAGTCCCCATATGGCTGCAACAGCCTAAGCTGGATCAGGTTGAAGCCAGAAGCCTTAACTCCTCTGGGTCTCCCATGTGGGTTCAGGGGCTCGGGCACTTGGGCCATGCCCCACTGCTTTCCCAGGCACAGTAGCTGGGAGTTGGGTCAGAACTGAAACATTGAAACCCAAATCAATACAGCTGTTAAGACTAGACTAAGTAGCTCTAAGAAGATAAATGTGAAGTCCAATTCCATACAGCGAAATGCACAGAACCTAAGTGTGATAAGTGTGGCCAGCCACAGACAGTTGTGGAAACGTAACCCAAAACACAATACTGGATATTTTTATTCAGACGTGCAAACCCTGAAGGTTCCCCCCCCCCACCGACCCACCCGAAGGCTGCTGCTCTGTGACAAGGTCGAGAGCATTTTTAATGCATCCGGTGCGCTGTTCCATGCCTGTGTAGGTGGACATCTGCATCCCTGAAGGGTGGGAAGGAACACTATTGACAGAAACTGAGTCCTTTGGCAAAGGGAGGTCGCTCCTGCAGGCTTCCTCATTGAAGGACAGGAGGTGCCTCTGCCACCCTGAGTCCTGTGGCTCAGCAGGGTCTGGGATCTGTCCTGTTATCCATGGACTGCCTGGGTTTGCTTGCACTCGCATTGGTGAACCTGGCTCCTGCGGCCAGCGGACTGGAGGGTATGCACGCAAGGCTGGGTTACCTGCTTGAGGACATGGCGACTGGGGAGCCTGGACCCTCAGTTTCTGGGCTACTCCAGACTGACCTTCTTTTCTCTCTTCCAGGCTGTTCTTTGCTGGAGCCAGAGAAGGCCACCTGCCCAGTGTGTTGGCCATGATCCATGTGAAACGCTGCACCCCAATTCCAGCTCTGCTCTTCACCGTAAGGACCCCTCCTGCCTTCGTCCCACACATACATCTTGCCTCTTGCTCTGAGCTGGGAACTCGCCCTTTACACACACACACACACACACACGCACACACACACACACACATATCCCAGCGCCCTCCTGACCCCTCCTTGGGTAACCTGACCAATGGTATCGTCACCCTTGACCCTATCAGAGATCTACCCAGGAAAGTCCCTGTATGAAGGCCACGTTGATGTGTTAAGAGCACATCAAAGAAGGAAAATCACAGAGGCAGGGATGATATCCGAAGGTGGAGGTTCAGAAGCAGGACGAAAAAAACATGGACTGATTTATTTTCATTCTTATTTTACTTTATTATTATTATTATTATTATTATTATTATTATTATTATTATTGGAAAGGCAGATTTACAGAGAGGAAAGGCAGAGAGGAAGATCTTCTGTCTGCTGGTTTACTCCCCAGTAGCTGCAATGGCCAAAACTGAGCCAATCCCAAGCCCGGAGTCAGGAGCCTCTTCCAGGTCTCCCACACAGGCGCAGGGTCCCAAGACTTTGGGCCGACCTCGACTGCTTTCCCAGACTATGAGCAGGGAGCTGAATGGGAAGTAGAGCATCCAGGATATGAACCGGTGCCCATGTGGGATCCCAGCATATGCAAGATGAGGACTTTAGCTACTAGGCTACCATGTCACATCCAGTACTGTATGATTTTATGAAATTTTTTTTTAAAAGGAAGGAAAGTAAATTAGATGACTGAACCAGGAGGAAAAGGGCACAAATAAAGCCATAATCTGCAGTTAACAATCTTCCCTCGAGGGATTAGACAAAGGAAATGAGCTGGAACGATCACCAAGGGAGAGACAGAGTAAGACCAGGACTGACACTGAGCCAGGTGGCATCAGCATGGCTGGCCCAAGGGTCCTTTCGGACTGGCCTGTGTCCTGGGGGCAATTCCACAGGCTAACTGCCGCTGCTGCACGAAGCACTGAAGGTGTCGCCGGGTCCTGTGGGTTTGGGAAGTTACAGGGATACTGCATTCAGAGGTAGTGTCTCCCCTAAAGGCGGGGTTAGGAGAGGGGGGAGCATCAGCCCTGCATCACCTGCCCACCGCTGAAGCCCACCTGCCTCTCTGCTCCCCCAGTGCATCTCCACGCTGCTCATGCTGGTCACCAGCGACATGTACACGCTGATCAACTACGTGGGTTTCATCAACTACCTCTTCTACGGGGTCACAGTGGCTGGACAGATAGTCCTTCGCTGGAGGAAGCCGGACATCCCCCGCCCCATCAAGGTCGGAGCACGCACCCTCCCCAGGTGTCTCCCTTACCTCTCCCGCTTCTAGCTGTGGCTCAGCTTTCCTTCCTTTTGTCTCTTTAAAGATGTATTTATTTATTTGAAAGAGTTGCAAAGACAGATCTTCCATCTGCTGCTCCACTCCCCAGTGGCTAAGACAGCTAGGACTGGAGCAGGCCAGGAGCTAGGAGCTTCTTCCAAGTCTCCCATGTGGGTGGCAAGAATTCAGCACTTGAGCCAGCCATCCTCCACTGCTTTCACAGGCCCATGAGCAGGGAGCTGGAGCTCTGCCCCAGCACGGGGGTCCCCTCTGAGATGGGCTGATGAGGAGGGAGGCGGCTGGATCAGACTTCCTCTAGGATGCAGAGGACGACAGAGCCAGGCCAGTTCTTGCCTGCCTGTCCTCCCCGCAGGACCACAGAAAGCCACCTAGCCTTCCAGAGCATCTCTGGCTTCTGTGCCCACATGACCTGGGTGATGAGGCCTTGTCTGATCCCCTCCTCAAACCCCCACCAAGAAGGAAGCCATGAGCAGCGGCCCTTCCTCTAGCCCTCCCATCTTCCTGTCTTAGCTTATCCCAAGTTCAACAACACTGGTTGCCAGAGCACCTGCCTCTCCAAGGGCTTCAAGTTGGGGAACTGAGATGCCTGACCTTTGCTCTCGGAAATGCAGGTACCCTGGGGTCAGCAAGGGCCACACAGGTCACAGTGTCTCCACTCCACAGATCAACCTGCTGTTTCCCATCATCTACTTGCTGTTTTGGGCCTTCCTGCTGATCTTCAGCTTGTGGTCAGAGCCAGTGGTGTGTGGCATTGGCCTGGCCATCATGCTCACAGGAGTGCCTGTCTACTTCCTGGGTGTCTACTGGCAACACAAGCCCAAGTGTTTCAACGACTTCATTGGTGAGTTGATGGGGCATGGGCTCTGGTGGCTCTGCCCAGTCCAGGACATGATGGTCTGGAGGAGGAGCCTTCTGACCAAGGTCAAAGGCCTTACGCTCATCCTGCCCTGAACTCACAAAGTTCAGGGGATGGGTTTCAGGGGATGGGAGAAGTGGATGTCTTCCCAGAGGCCTCTGGGGGGAGGAAGACAGCAGAGGTTTGCACCCAGACCTTAGAAACCCATAAATGCCTGAGGATAGTGTCAGCCAAAACTACGGGGGCTGCCTCGGGCTGGGTGTGGACGCCGGGGCCAAGGGATATGGACAGCTGGGTTCTGGTTGAGCACAGAGCAGCCATCTTAGATGTGTAGGAGGCAGGCAAGGTGGCTTCCCACAGGCACCTGCACCTGCTGGTCTCCTGCAGCCAAACCTGGGGTGGAAGAACTGGGGAGGACTCTGGGGTTGCTCAGCATTGACCTGACCCCATGGGACCTCCTTCCACAGAGCTGCTAACCCTGGTGAGCCAGAAGATGTGTGTGGTTGTGTACCCCGAGATGGATGGGGGCTCGGAGACAAAGGGGACGCAAGAAGACATAGAGGAGCAGCAGCAACCCATCTACCAGCCCCATGCCAGCAAGGACTTGCCCGAGCAGCCCCAGCCCTGAGTCCCCTTAGCTACACTCTGCCTCCTCCTCTCTGCCAAGCCTGGGTCCCCAGCACACACAGCCCCTCAAACACACACATACACACCTGTCTGCTTCCATCAGGCAGCTGTGCAGGACCTGGGCATGGTAGTGAGAAATGACAGAGACGCTGGCATTTGTACCCAAAGAACCAGCCTGACACGCCAGCATCCATGACCCAGGCCTCACTCCACGCTGCGAGGGGAGACTGCAGACAGACAGGGTACCCCACAAGTCCCGTCTCCAGGCCCTCAGGGGTCTCTCCGGAACCTGAGCCCACCACTGCCGTTGTTCCCCTTCCTACCCAGTTCTAATCCCTGCGTGGTTGGGAGGAGATCTTAATGCAAAGACAGGAGGCAACCTACCAGAAGTTAGCAAATCTATCTCCGTTAAGAGGCGGCTGGAGAACCCTAAATCCTCCCCACTCATCAGGGACCCAAAAATCAGAAGGGATCTGTTCCTTGCCCCAGCCTGGGCTCCTTGTCCCAAGCAAGGCTTCTTTCTGGATGCCACCTCCTCACTGAGCTAAGGACCAACCAGAGGACTGGCTCCCCTACCCCTACTCCTCAAGCCCCAAGCTAGATCAGAACATTCTAGAAAAGCTCTACCTGCAGACTCAGCCCTGCCCCTTGCCTCTGGCATTGTCTCCCCCAGAGTGGTGCCAAAGCTTCCTGAAGCCAGAAGTCTTGCTAGTTTTTACAGCTTGCCCCTCCTCCACCGCCACCCAATCCCCTTCATCCCTGCAGTAGCTACCACACACCCACCAGGGGGCAGCCATGCCATCTCACCTTTCCCCGCCCCTTGAGGCCTGGGCTCTGGAAGTGCGTTGAAGGATCCCCAAGGCCTGAAGTCAGAGCCACGTCAGCCTTAAGCCTCCACTTGTGTTAAGCACTGGGTCTGAAAATATTTCCTTCCTTTTAGTCCTCAGGATTGACCCGGTGTTAAATGCCTGCTCCAGAAGGCTGTGGGAAGGACACAAGGGTGCTGCCTTGGGGTGGGAGACAGAGCCGCGCCCCCCCTTTCTCTGATCCTTTCCTTGAGTGCAGGGGTATCTGTCCCCGGGCCCTGCAGCTTCCCAGCCATACTTGCTGTTCTGAGGCTGTGGATGCTGAGCCCAGAGCATCATTCTTCCAGTCTGCCCTTTGCACCTGCTTAGACTGGGGTACAGGGAGCCCCTCCTCCTGGCAGGACTCCCAACTGGCCCAGACCATTGTTGGTAAGACGCTGGATTTGGTTTGAGTGACAGTCCCTTCCGCCAGGTGGGCTAGGGTGGCCCCAGGAGGGCCAGGGGACCTTCTCATTCCTCCAACCTCCTCACCTCTTTCAGTTATTATTGGGTTTTTGTTTGTTTGTTTTATAAAGTGGATGCCTTACTTTTTGGATAAATGTTTTTGAAGCTTGTATTTCTATTTCTTTTGAGTCTTTTTTTTTTTTTAATGTTAGATGGTTGGGAGGGGAGGGGTAGAGTTGGTTCAACCTTGGTGGTCATCTCCTGTTGTTGAATTGGTTTAGGTGTTTTAAGAGTCCCATTTGTAAAAGCAAAAAAAAAAAAAAAAAAAAAAAAGGTCCCATTTGTTTTTGTGGAGGTTTTATTTTCTTTTTCATGTAATAAAATTTGAAATGGAAATGAAGTTGGTAGTGGCATTGATGATCAAATGACCTTTGGGAACAAGTCCCCCTGACCTGTCTTTCTTGGTCCCAAGTTCTGGCGGCTGGGTCCTTGCCAGGATTGCATTTCTAGAAAGCCTGGTAAGCTGCACCTGCCAGTTATCCCAGGACCTCAGTAATAACGTGTTTGAACACCCTCCCTCCCATTGCCAGTTCAAAGCCTTGTCATCCCAGCTGCTAAGGCCCTATGTACTAGAAGACAGTCTGCAAATGGACCAGCAGAAATTCTGGGAATGAGGGTGAGGAGGAAGTGAGGAATGGTCACTCCACTATTCCATCAACCTGGTCCGCCTGCTCCAGCATAACCTAAGGGAGGCGGTGGGCCCAGGGCCTAAGGGGCTTGTTGCCCTGGAAGGGGAGGCTGGGCTCACAGGTGACATCCACCCACCTGGCCTCCAGGCCATCTGAGAAGACTTCCAGCAGGGGCTCCAGGAGCAGAGAACTCTGGGATTAGGACCCTAGGGCTGAGTGACAAAGTGGGGGTGACAGAGTGAATTCCTCCAGGGTCGGGGTTCCGTGTTAGAGGAAGTTGATGGAATTTGTCCCAGTCCCTGCTACAAGTCTGTGTGTCCCAAGGACAGCATGACTGAGGGACATTGGAGGGAGGGTTTAAAGAACCCTCCCCAATTTCAGACATTGCAAGGACACAGAGGAGCAAGAGGCCAGGCCCCAACTTGCCTGTTTGGTAGCTATCATTGTCCCTGACAGCCTGGACGGTCGCCAGTCGCAGAGATGTCAGACACCTGGCACCTGTTTACAGCAGTATGCCCACAGGTAACTCATCTCACCTGCTCCAAACTGTACGTGTGAGAGTTGGACCTAATCTTATCTCAGCTGGTGCCTTAAATCTCCCAATGTTGAGTTGTCCCACCAAGGCCAAGGCCAGTCTTGGGCAGTTCTCTCCCATACCTCCCCTTCAGGAGTCCCCTTCCCCATTGCACACCCCTATCCTCTCCCTGCACTGCCCAGGTCTCCTCTGTGTTGCCCTTCCCAACTCCTCTCACTCCCTGGACTCTTGAGATTCATTTATTCTCATTGGAAACACAGATTTATAGAAAGGAGAAGAGACAGAAAGTCTGCCGGCTCACTCCCCAAATGACTGCAATGACCAGAGCTAAGCTAATCCAAAGCCAACAGCTTCTTCCTAGTCTCTCACATAGATGCATGGGCTCAAGAACCTGGGTCATCCTCCGCCATCTCTGCCACCTTCCCAGGAGCAAAAGCAAGGGAGCAGGATCAGAAGTGAAGCAGCTGGGACATGAGCCATTGCCCATATGGGAGTCCAGTGCTTTTAACTAGATTAACCCGTTGAGACACTGCTTGATGCCTGCATTTCTTTGGACCTTGGACCTGGGCCCTGTCTTAGCCTTTTAGTCACTTCACTTCAGATACTCTGCCCTTAAGAACCTTTTGGGAATTCCTAGTCTTGTGGCTAACCCGCCCGCAGTCATACAGCAAGGCACAGCATGCACGGCCTCCAAGAGCTCTGTTCTGTGCTATGGGAAGAACACATACAGTCCTGAATTGACCTCCAAGTCAGCAAAGAACTCCAGTCCTTTGTTTTGGGAAGGGACATTCGGCACAGCAATGAAGACGTTTGGGAGGCCCACCTCCCTCCTGAGAGTACGGGTTTTAGGGCCAGCGCTGTGACACTGCTGGCCTAGTCACCACCTACGATGCCAGAGTCCCATATGAGCGCCGGTTAGAGACTGTTCTGCTCTCAATCCAGCTCTCTGCTGAAGCGCCTGGAAAAGCACCGACGTTACTCGGGCCCTTGCCATTCACAGAGACCCAGATGGAGTTCCAAGCTCCCGGATTTGGCTCAGCCCAACCCCAGCCATTGCAGCCATTTGGAGAGTGAACCAGTGGATAAAAGACTCTCTCATTCTCTGCTTTTCAATAAAAGCAGAGGAAATACAGACAAAAATCTTCCATCTATTGGTTCACTCCCCAAGTGGCCACAAAGGCCAGAGCTGAGCCAATCCGAAGTCAGGAGCTTCTTCTGTGTCTCCTGTGTAGGTGCAGGGTCCCAAGGCTTTGGGCCATCCTCTACAGTTTTCCCAGGTCACAAGCAGGGAGCTTGATGGGAAGTGGAGCAGCTGGGATATGAACTGGCACCCATGTGGGATCCCACCTCATGCAAGGCAAGGACTTTAACCACCACTGGGCTACTGCCTTGGGCCCAAATTACTTCATTTAAAATTTCAAAATATCCTGTGCTTGTCCCCATAAATATTCAGATATGGCAATGTACCTATCGTTCATTGTTACTCCTGAATTAAGATGCCAAAGTCCAGAAGGATCAAACCAGTTCACCAGCAGATTAAAAAAAAAAAAAAAAAAACAAGAAGAAGAAGACGCCAAGAACACACTTAGCACGTGCGTGCATATGCACTTGGTGGCCTCACTGACCACACACCCCACCAGGTGACCTCTGGCTGTGGACTCCTGTGCTGAACTGCAGGGTATTTGCTGGCAGGGGCGCAGTGTCATGGGGGCGTTACGCCAGGCAGTGGCATAGCATCCCTGCTGGGAAAACACAAGTGAAACAGCAGTGGGTGGTCACAGGGGGTAGGAGGTGGCTTCCCGTTTCCTGAGGCCGACTCCTTTACACGCACTATCTTCTTGCTAGTGAGAACGGCAGACGCCATCTTACGGTAAAGGTTCCGGAGCCGGCCCAAGGTCACAGGCTGCTCATGGGAAAAGCCTCGGTCCCCTAAGGAGGTGGCGCTGCCAGGAGATCTGTCACAAAGTCCCCGAGAGGATAACAACGCAGCCTGTGCTGTGATGATTGCAAACAGCCGCAGCCATGCAGGGCGGAGGCCCAGCTGGCCCCACGCCACACACCCACCCCTGCTGGGCACAGCCCGTGCCCCCCGTCCTTCCAAGTGCCTCCTGCCCCTCGGTTACCGGGAGACGCTGTCGTCAGCAAGCCGGCGACGTCAACGGCCACCAGGAGGCCAGCGGCACAGATCACTTATCTGCCGAGGCCCACGCTGCCCACCTTCTGATTTCCTGCCAGCTCTGTTTGTACACGTCCCTGCCTCCTCGCGGAGCTGACTGTCCAGCGGCTGCCCTGAGCTGACGCACAGCTCTCCCAGAGACATCCGGAGTGACACAGGCAGCCCCCTCCCCATCCCCCTGAGTCCTAGACCCTGGCAGTTCTGAATCACAGCCCCCGCCTGCCCCTCTCCAAGCCCGTCAGCCCTGGGGTGACCTTGACGAGTTCAACCTCGTGCCCTTGTTTTCCTTGCTTGCAGAGATAAAAACCACCCACTGCCTGCCTTGCCTTCTTTCTGACTTCATTCATTGGCAGTCATCATCAACAAGTATGCGTTTCAAGGACTGA